AGGCCCAAGTCGCATTACAACCCAAATTCTAGATTAACGAGTCCAAAAAGATTTTCAAAAATTAAATTGTTTTCCGGAAATGAAAATGTTTGTTATGAGATTTACGGTCGCATTATAAAAATCACAATTCATTGATAGGTATAATATTTTTATTGCAATCTTTAGCGGACTTGTATCTTTCAGTCAAGTATTTCATTTTTTGTTTATACTTGTCTGTGGCTCTCTTAAGGTTAAACTTTGTGTTGATTTGGCTAGCAATCATGTCCTCCCATACTTTTCTGTTATCTTTGCTCTCAAGCTCATCGTGTTTCTCTGCCCAAAGGCTGACTAGCTGACTAGCATTGCTTGTTGATCGTGAGAAAACTTGTCATATGTCTTTTTGCCTTTCGAGGATGATGCCTGTTTGTCCAAGTCAGGGCTACTGCTTGTACTACTCGTGTTGGCTCCACTACATCCCGGCGAGATCGAGGAAGGTTTTACATTTACACCACTAGTAGACGCTTGAGGCGGTATATTAGGATATGGAACGAAGTATGGGTTGTAATAACCTTGGTAGTCATTGAARGCGAAGTAGTCGCGACCGTCCGCCATGATCACACAACAATGACGTGGACTCAAGTTTATACGTGAAGCGCGATCTGGTAAAGGTTACCGTGACACGATATGTCATTGCCGGAAACGGTCTTCTTCGTTGTGAAAAATTCTCTCTGAATCTGCCTGCCCCACCCAAGCACTACGGCGTCTTTGAAGTTTTTACTAGTTTAGGATTTTTTTAGGATTTGACAAAATTAGAGTTGCATTACAAAATGTTGGTTGCTGACAAATATGGACAGGATTATTACACATTTTTTATCCAAAAATACTGTAATGCGACTTGGGCCTAATTTCAAAAATCATTGTAGTTCTTTAATGTATGCCAGATAACTTGAAAATATATTATTTGATATGGAAACAGTATAAATGTTGATCTACGTGAATTTTCCAACTGAAAATTTACAAAGATACAAGTCTTACAAAAATTATATCAGATTGAATTATCGAATGCTACAAATTCAATAAAGCTTATCAGTAGTGTAGGAAGGCCGATTTTAACACAAAAGAAATCTGGAGCTGGGTTTGGAGCTAGTRACGTCATCTCTATATTAAAACAATGAGGTCATCCTTATTTTTAGAAACAATGAGGTATTTTGAAAAGTAAACCGAAGAAACAAACTTTGTCCTCCAACTTTTATGACCTATTGCGTTTTTTCCACGCCCTCTGTTATGACAGTGAAATCTGTAAACTGAAATACAAGGAGGAAGAGAAAAACGGGAAGCAGTTTCGTTGGGCTATGGATCCCCCTTCTTTCTAGTCTGAGTGTCAACAAGATTTTTTAAAGTATTTTGATCACGTGACTATGAAGTYATGCACGCGTTGGAATACTTCATGTAGAATCTAACCGCCGACAGAAGGATAGGATCGTATACAGAAGAACTTGAAAAGAATTCCTGTCTCCAAGTGTGGAGGGGTCTTAATGAATTGAATCAAAACGACTCCACACAAGATTTGGTTCAATCTCATAGCACCAAAGAAGCGCAAAGAAACTCCTCTCGATGACATAGTTAAGTGTTTGGAGAAACACTACAACCCAAAACCTCTTGAGATCACCGAAAGTTTTCACTTTGGCACTCGTAAACAGAAGCCAGGCGAGTCAGTGAATGATTTCATCGTGTCACTTAAACAACTGTCCATACATTGTAATTACGGAAGATTTCTCAACCGAGCACTAAGAGACCGATTTGTTTGTGGTCTCAACAATGTCAAGATACAGAATAAGCTACTAAACACCGCTGATTTAACCTTTGACCAAGCTTGTCAAATTGCTAAAGCAATGGAAATGGCAGAAAGAAACACACAGGAGTTGCACCCCATTGCAGGAGAGCTCGCTCAAGGAACAGTCCATAAAATAGCAACCACAAAAGAGAACATTAAGGAACAAGTAATTGCCAAAAATGCATACTCATGTTATAGATGTGGAGGCAAACACAACTCGAATAACTGTTAGTTTAAAAATGCTAAATGTTTTAAATGTCAAAAAAATGGGCATATCGCCTCAGTATGTAAGAGTGATGAGATTAAGACAACATCAAGCCAACCTGTTGGAAATATTCATAATGTATGTAATGAGGAGGGGGACGAGATTGATGAGTTCGGCATATTTTCTGTAGAGACGGTTATGTGTGAGCATAAGTCCAAGTACAAAGTGAATATGTCCCTGAATGGATGTATGTGCGAATTGGAGGTCGATACAGCAGCTGACCGTTCTATTATGAGTAAAAGTACTTATATGCAGAATTTTAGTAGATTTTCCCTTTTACCCTCGAGCGCAAAACTGAGAACGTATACTGGTGAAACACTGAGTGTGTGGGGGAAAATGGTGTGTGTGATGTAATGTACAAAGATCAGAGATACTCACTCCCCATACTAGTGGCAAATTATAAAGGGAAACCCACCCTGTTAGGGAGGGACTGGCTTAGTGTTGTGAAGTTTAAGTGGGAAGAAATATTTCATATCCAGTCACCAAGAACCTCTGTACCAGCAGAGCAGTTTGACATCTTACTTTCCAAACATAAGGTTTTGTTTGAAGAGAGTTATGAAGGCCTTCAGGGTTTTGAAGCTCATATAACAATGAAAGATGGTGCCAAACCTATATTTTGTAAGCCAAGAAAGGTCGGTTATCCTCTAAAACAAGCTGTTGAAAATGAACTGGAGAAGCT